TTTGCTGTGCTAGTGTTGCCTGTTGGGGAGGGGCCAGAGAGGGAACAATGCAGCTCACCTGCTCATTTCAAGCACACTTTCCGCACTTTCCATCAGACTCTTGTGTGAGACTGGGAGTTTCTTCCTATGTAGCAACCACCCTAACAACTCTGAGTCTCAGTTACCTCTTAAGTCAGCCCCACCCACACAGCCTGCAGCCTTGCAGCAGCCAGCCCCGCCCCCAAGGTCAGTGGGCTCTTGTGAGTTTTCTCTGCTAGCCGGCTCTTATGGTCAGCCACCTTACAGGTCTGGTGGTTCTGATTGAGTTTTTCTTTAATTCCTTGGTTGTCGGGGTTCCATGCAGTTTGATTTTTCTGGTACTTATGGTTGTTCACTGATTTTAGATTGGTTGTTATCCTCCCTTTGGTTGTGTGAGGAAGGGAAGGGTTTCTACCCACGCCTCCATCTTGGCCAGAACTCTCTTTATCTGGTTTTTTTGTGTGTGTTTGTTTTTTTGCTTGTGAGTTTTTCATCCTGGACCCCGGAAGGAATTTTTAAAGGACTTGTATTACTCAGTTTCCATTAGGAACTACAACATTAAACAAAAATAACATATTTAGCCTTATGTGAACCTACTGCTGTAAAAATAATGTTCACATATACTAAACAGTGTTATTACTTCATGATATAAAATAGTTAATTTATTCTCTGAAAATGAGTGATGCTCTCCATTTTAAGTAGAACATATATATTAGATAAGAGTACTTGTCTTTGTTCTATACTATCTATTGTATCTTGTTGGATGAAATATCTGGATTTGTTTTTCAGTTTGTTTTTACTTGCTTATTATAAGTGCTCAAGCAATTGGTGAAAACTATTTATGTCAATACTTAATAATTCTAGTTAATTATAAGAAAAAGTACTGCTGCTTTGATTCTTACCCAAAAGAGGATGGTATTTCCAAATAACTTTATTTGGTTTGGGGAACATTACAATTTTTTGGTAGTTTATTTTTATTTTTAAAATTTTTAATTTTTACAGAGAGGGAATGGAAGGAGAAAGAGAGAGAGAGGAAACATGGATGTGAGAGAAAAACATCTATTGGTTTGCCTTCTGTATGTGCCCTAACTGGAACTGAACCAGCAACCAAGTATGTGCCCTGACCAGGAATCAAACCAGCAACCTTTCAGTTTGTAGGATGACACCCAACCAACTGAACCACACTGACCGAGGCATTTGTGTGTGTGTGTAGTTTTATCTTTAAATTGCACATAACTTAATCAAAATTTTACTTATTTTTACTATATTTATTGATTATACTATTACTGTTGTCCTGATTTTTCTCTTTGCCCGCCCCCCCAACCCAGCACCCCCTGCTCCCTTGGCAATCCTCCCACTGTTGGTCATGTCCATGGGTCATGCCTGTAAGTTCTTGGCATCTCCATTTCCCCGTGGCTACTCTGCAACTACCTATTTGTACTTCTTAATCCCCTCACCTCTTCACCCACTCTCGCCTTCTCCCCTCAATCTGGCAACCATCTGGTAACTAACTTCTTTTCTCTTGCTGCTTTTCAGAGTCTCTCTTTATCTTTAACCTTTGGCCTTTTAATTATGATGTATCCTGGTATGGGCTTTTCACATCCATCATAATTGAGACTCTGTGCTTCCTGGACTTGCATGTCTCATTTCCTCACCAATAGGGAAGTTCTCTTTCACTATTTTTTCAGATAGATTTCTAATTTCTTGCTCTGTCTCTTCTTCTGACACACCTATGATGCAAATGTTGGTAAGCTTGAAGTGGTCCCAGAGGCTGTTTATACTATCCTCATTTTTTTTTTTTTTGGATTCTTTTTCCTTCTTGTTGTTCTGATTGGTTGTTTTTCACTTCCTTATGTTCCAAATCATTGGTTTGATTCTCGGCTTCATCCACTGTACTGTTATTTCCCTGTAAATTGTTCTTTATTTCAATTAGTGTATCCTTTGTTTCCGATTGGGTCTTTTTTTATGCTGCTGGGGTCCTCACCAAGCTCCTTGAGCATCCTTATAAAGAGTGTTTTGAACTCTTTATATCACAGACACTCTGTGTCTAATAGATTGCTACTCACCATTTCATTTAGCTCTTTGTCTGGAGTTTTGATCTGTTCTTTCATTTGGGCCATATTTCTTTGTCTCCCTGTGTTTGTTTCTATGTATTAGGTACAGCTGCTTTGATTCCATGTCTTGGTAGTGTGGCCTAATGTAGTACGTGTCCTGTAGGGTCCAGTGGCTCAGCTTCCCCTATAACCTAAGGGTATACTGTAGGTGTACCCTTCATGTTGGCTGAGTACACCCTCCTCTTGTAGTTGAGCCTTGGTTGCTCTTGGCAGATCATTGGGTGGGATTTACCCAGGCCAGTCAGCTGCAAGAATTGGCTATAACCACTTACCACCTTCCATGGAGGATTAGCCAAAATTTTAAAACAAATTGCATTTGTTGACTGGAAGCTTTCTAGAGGGCAATATAAAGCTTCCCTGAAGAAATGTTTGTTATATTGAACATGGGTGATGTAATACAAAATGGGGCAAAAGTAGGTTCACAGTTGTGATTACATAAAAGTTTATTCTTATATCATTCTTTATTAACTATTGTATTATTTTCCATATGAACAACTGTAAACCTACCTTTGCCCCCCACACTGTGTATTGTGACAACTTTATTTTTCTCTCCCACACCCCATTTACATTTATTTATTGGGCCTAATTCTTGTCCTGTCTTTAGATGAAAATTCAGACAGAGGACAGAGTTATAACTCTTTTGGTCACTCTTAGGTTATAAAAAGTCCTACTGTGCAGTGACTTAAGGTCATAAAACAGTGTCATTTCCATAATTGATATGTCCAGTCAAAATTAAACTTGATTTATAGTTGCGGCTTCTTCCCTCATTCAGCTCTGGCCTACTACTAGATATTAGGGATGGGGTATGGTAGGCTTCTCTGTCCTCCAAAGCTTCCTTCCATACCCTACACCCCCCACTCCCCAAGCCTCCAACCTAGCCAGGGTTATAGTAGAAGTGTGGACAGTAAGGGGAACAGAAAAGTTCTTACCTGACTGCTCTGGCATTGATGGTCAGTTTTGTGTGATGTTGGCAGATGTTTAAAGCTGATTTTTTGTGGACGTTCTCTTAGGTTCTTTTATCAACCCCATCACTGGGGAACTACTCATTTTTGGTTCTTTTGGCAAGGCAAATGTAGTTCTCCTTTTTCAGCCTTTAGGACTTTGATGATACCTTCAGGTTCTCTGTGCTGAAGTTTGTCCTTCCACCCAGGCCTCTTGTGCAGGCTGAGATGATCCCATGCTGTATATCTAATGGTGGCTCACACTTGCACATCCTTTGTGTTGGCAAATTCTGGGCATGCAGGCTGATCCCCTTGCAGCTATCATTCTCTGCTCCTCCTCTGGCCCCTCCTTCAAGCTGCCCCAGCCAGCCTTTCTCAGTTAAGATTTCTCAGGGTAAGATTCCAGTCAATTGGGGCCCAAAACTACATATATTATTGGTGCAATCATTTCAGAGAGCAATTCCACTGCAGTTAATAAAGTTGAAAGTTCCCAGCAACTTCACTTCTGGGGATCTGCTTGGCGAATCTCTTGCATGTGGTGCACATTGCTTCTCTACAAGAGCAATAAAGTAGGAAAACTCCTAACTGCTTCAGCAAGGGTAAAAATAAACTATGGGTTAGTCACACAATGAGCAGCAAAAATAGTTTTATAGAGATTTGTCGATTGGATAAATTTCAAAAATATAATTTTGAGAAAAGAGAAAGGTATAGAATGATAGGTATAATTCCATTTAATGACATGTCTAACTGTGCAAAAGAAAACATATTGCTAATGTGTATATGTATAAGAACATGCATGGGAATAATGTTATACACCATTCTCAACTGGTCACACTATAGGAGAGAAACAAACCAAAATGGAGAGCTTCTACCTGTCCATATTCTATATAAAAGAATGAATCAAAGCTAGTATAATTAAGTTTTTGTTAAAATTTGTTGTCATGCCCTGGCTGGCGTAGCTCAGTGGATTGAGCTCAGGCTGCGAACCAAAGCATCGCAGGTTCAATTCCCAGTCAGAGCACATGGCCCCCAGCAACCGCACATTGATGTTTCTCTCTCTCTTCCTCCCTTCCCTCTCTAAAAAATAAATAAAATCTTTTAAAAACTTTGTTATCATAGTTGTGGTGGGTCCATGGGTATTTATCATATTACTCTGAGTAATTCTTTATAAATATTTTATTTAAAAAGTAGCAGGAGGGAGCCAGGGAATGAAAGTCCAGAGTCCATACCAAGGCCTGCATACTCCAGGCAGACATCTGCCTGCATACTCCAGGCAGACATACTCCAGGCAGACATCTGTCTTTATTCAGACACCTGTAAATTTTGCTCCGGCCTCCAGAAGACACCTCAAGCCTTGACAGCCCCAGTTCAGACCCTATTCAGATATCCCACTGCTGCTGGGTGGAAAGGAAAGTGCAGGGATCATTTACCATAATCCGTCTAGGAAGCGTAGAGTTGATACTTAGGAATCCAAGGGCCTAGCACTCTAAAACTCACATTCTAGATCCTCTTCCCTCAGAAAGTTAGGCTCTGCCCCCGCAGGGTGCGACCCCAGCACGTGGTGATTCCTCCACAGAAGAGCTCAAACAGTACCGTCTTTTTTCCCCCCTTACCTAGCACAAGGCCCAGTGGACATTTGGAGCTCAAATAACTTTTGCAGAAAGTATGAATGAGTTGCAATTCCTGATCTAGTTAACAAACGGGGTGTGTGGAATAATGCTAAGTGCTAGGCAGACCACCAAATTAAGGTGGGTATGAGATACTGGAAGACTACAACACCAGCTTGCACGCACGAATCACGAATCACCCTTCTTCCCACAGTCGCTCTGCACCAACTTCACCCGCCAAGCACACCCACCTTTCCCCGCCCCTTCCGGAGGCTCGCCGAGCGCATGCGCCATCCGGTCCGCGCTTATTTGCGAAAGCTTGGGGCAGGTCCTGTGTAGTCCTGAGACGCCGCGAGGATAGACGCAGCGGGTGGGGCACTGGATGGAGGCGGTGGCGTCCGCAGCAACGGTCGGGGCTGCGGGTGAAAAAGTAGCCGTGTAGGCACTTAGAGATCGAAGCAGCAGCAGGGACTGCATGGCGGGAGACCGGGTCCGCTGGGTTCCCTGAGGTGCGCTCCCTGAAACCCCGGGGAGCCGTAGCCCATGGGATCGCTGAGCAGCCGAGTGCTGCGCCAACCGGGGCGAACCCATGCCCAGCAGGAGCCGGGTTCCAGGACTGGGGGCTCGGCCCGAAGGCCGGAGACTGGTGGCGACGCGGCCGGCCAAGGTTTCTGTTACTGCTCCGGCAGCCGCAAGCGCAAGCGGAGCAGCGGGGCCCTCTGCTACTGTCACCCCGACTCCGAGACAGAGGAGGATGAGGAGGAAGGGAATGAGCAGCAGCGTCTCCTCAACACTCCTCGAAGGTATGTGGTGGGACGCGCCCGCACCTGTTGGGTGGCTTCAGCGGCCTGGCCTGGGGACTAGCCTGGCATCCGGTGTGCTTGGGGGGTTGCTGCACTGTCCCAGCCTGTGAAAAGCGGACGTGTCCTTGACAAGGTAGGAGCCCTCCGATGCAGGGCGGATGGGAAGTGCCTTGGGAGACGCTTGGTATTCTGGATTATAAACCACAGACGCTGCCAGGATGATGTTATGGCCCCAAGATGAGACTCAGAAACGCCAAGCCGAAGCTTGCGTCTCATTAAATCTTAGACACGACTGGCTGGCCGGCCTTCCGTGATACATCTTTGTCCTCTCTGAGTAGGTGGCAGTAGGATAAGTTGTTTTTCATCCGGCTGCCTTAAATGGTACAGACGAGTAAATTTAGTCTGAGATGGGCACTCCCATTGTCGTCCACTCAGTGTAGCGGAAGTGATTATAGTTCTTAACTGTAAAGGTGAACTTTATCAATATAGTTCACATATGTTCCTTAGTAGGAACAGTCTTTTAACGTCTCTAGTACTTGAACATACACTGTGGATATGTGCTGCAGCTTGCTTGACCTTTTTTCAAAGAGTTGAAACAACCAGGATATTTACTTGTGAACTGGAATATAGTTTCTAAGTAGGATGTGTTTTCACATAAACAATATGGTTGGTCTGTTTTCTTAAAATTTATTTTAATTTTTTTATTTTAGAAAGGGGGTAGAGAGGGAGAGAGGAAGAGAAACATCGATGTGAGAGAGAAACAGGATCAATTGTTGTTATACTGAACCCACAACCCACACATGTGCCCTACCGGGAATCCTGGGTGACCTTTCAGTTTGTAGGCTGACACCCAACCAGTTGACTGGGGTCACATAGACTTAAATTTTTAAGTGAAATTTTAAAAATGATTAAAATTTTTTTTGCTACACAAATGTTATATATTGTAAAATAAAAATGTTGTAGAGATCTTATGTTAATTTATTCATAAAATCTTTCATACGTTTTATGTAAGAATGCCCCGAAATGAACCCCCCATGTCAAATTGTAACCTTTTTGGAGAGTCAGCATAATATAGTTTTAACAGCTCATATTCTGAGGTTAGCTTGTATTCTGCACATAATAGACTTTTTTTCCTTATAAGTAAAATGGAGATACTAATAATTGCCTTATAGGGCTTCACAAATATTAGAATGCATACAATGAATAGTGCCTGGTATAGAAGCACTCAGTAAATATTATCTCCATGATGAACTGACTCTATATTATTACAAAATGCCTCTTTATCTCTGGTAATATAGTAGTATACTATCACTTTATTTTAATAATTGTTTGAAAGGTGTATCTTTTTCCATCCTTCCCTTTTTACCTGTGTCTTTATATTTAAAGTATTATCTTGTAGATAAAGTTAGGTCTTGGTTGTTTTTTAAAATATTTTGAGTCCAATAGGATAATGTCTGCTTTCTAATTAGTATTTAGGACACTTACATTTAATATGTCATTGTTGAAATATATGTGTTATGGTCCATTTAAAAGAAAGAAGTCACACAGTAATTTGATTGGGGAAAATTTAATATAACTATTAACAGCAAGTAACTGGAAATTGACTTCTGAAGGCAAACTACTAAGGTAAAGAGATCTATAAAAAAGACAGAGAATATCGAAAGTAGTTACTCCTTCTAGGTCTGAGACAGAATACCTAAGGAAGGAACAAATTTGGAATAGTGCTGCCATATCCAGGCTAAGATTCTGATGTTGGAGGAGGTATGCTTGTAGCCCAGAAATAGTGAAGTTTGCTGGGATGTGGTAGGCTGAGGCTGGCAAGCAGGAAACTGCCCATTAAGGTACTGACAAAATTGGCTTGGAGGCTGCCTGGCTTACCAAGCTGAAAGTACTGTCAAGGCAAGAGGTGTCAAACTCATTTTCACCAGGGGCCACATCAGCCTAGCAGTTGCCTTCAAAGGGCCAAAATAATTTTAGGAGTGTATAATGTAACTACTCCTTAACTGTTAAGGAGTTGAAATTACATTCGGCCCTTTGAAGGCAACTGCTAGGCTGATGTGGCACCCAGGGAAAATGAATCTGACACCCCTGGTCTAGGCCTTTACAGAAGTTTGCCAAACCCTGGATTACATGAGTGGACTGGAATGCAAAGTCTTTAAAGCAAACTTTTATTAGAAAGTGCATATCAGAGTTTATTATGTGTATATATCAGTGGAAGATGCCTGTCTTATTTAGCTCAGTATGGTTGAAAGGTAGAAGAAAATATTAAGGCCCTGGCTGGGAAACTGAGTTGGTTAGAGTGTTGTCTTGATATGCCAAGATCTCCAGTCAGGGAACATACAAGAAGCAACCAGTGAATGCATAAATAAGTGGAACAAGTTGATGTTTCTTGCTCTCTCTCTTTAAAAGATTAATTACAAAAATATTAAGACCTAGAATTTTGGCACTGATATACTTCCTGAGGTTGTCTGGCATGCTTTCCCACTTTAACCAACTATTTCTTGAAAAGCTTTGGTTTCCATGCCCACCTTCTACCTCATACCTTTTCTCACCTGCATGTTTTACTTTACATTAACAAAATTATTAAAACTCAGCTTTTCTGCAACTAGATCTTGAGTGTTTTGTCCTTGGATTGCCTCTAAATATTGAAATCTAGCAATAGTATTTGTTCTTATAACTATGTAAATAATGTTCACTCCAGAGTCAAATAGTGTGCTAGGACCATAAATCATACTTTATGGGCCCAATGTCACAACTCTCACCCCCTGTTTTTCTCTTGGAGAAATTTTCTAACCTCATAGTCAAATGGAATCTCTTATATTCCATGAAGTGCATTAAGTCACACCCTGTTTTCATGTGTTATCTTATTGAGAAAAAGCCTTTTTTTATTGCTTTATTTTCCTGGAGGTTCTTTCTGTTTTTAAAATTATATTTTATTGTTGATGACATCACAGTTGTCCCAATTTTTTTTCCTATGCTCCCTTATACCCATCCGCACCCCCACTCCATCAGGCAATCACCATACCATTGTCCATTTTTCCTGCCTATATGTTCTTTGGCTACTCTGTTCCCTATGCTGTACTTTACATCCCCATGACTATTCTGTAACTACCATATTGTACTTCTTAATCCCTTCACCTTTTTCACCCATCCCCCCATCCCCTTCCATCTGCCATCCATCAAAACGTTCTCTGTATCTATGATTCCATTTCTGTTCTCTTTGTTTATTTTGTTTTTTAGGTTAAATTGTTGATAGATATGTATTTATTTCCATTTTATTATTCATAGTTTTTATATTCTTCTTCTTAAAGAAGACCCTTCAACATTTCATATAATACTGATTTAGATTAAAAAACTATGGTACATTTACACAATGGGATTCTATGCAGCAGAAAGAAAGAAGGAGTTCCTACCCTTTGTGACAGCATGGATGGAACTGGAAAGCATTATGCTAAACGAAGTAAGCCAGGCAGTAAAAGACAAATACCATATGATCTCACCTTTAACAGGAACCTAATCAACAAAACAAAAAAGCAAGCAAAATACAACCAAAGACACTGAAATAGAGAACAGGCTGACAGTGACCAGAGGGGAGAGGGGAGGGAATTTCAGGGGAAAAGGGGAAGGGTTTGCAGGAACAAGTTTAAAGGACACATGGACAATAACAAGGAGGGGGGGTGGAAATAGGAGTGAGGTAGGGAGGGCTGTGGTGGTGGGCTGGGATGGTGGCAAAAGGCAGAAAACTGTACTTAAACAACAATTAAAATTAAATTTTTTTTTTTTAAATACTGATTTGGTATAATGAACTCCTTTAGCTTTTTGTCTGGGAAGCTCTTTATCCCATCCTTTGATTCTAAATGATAGCTTTGGTGGGTGGAGTAATCTTGGTTGCAGGTCCTTGCTTTTCATCACTTTGAATATTTCTTCCCAACGCCTTCTAGGCTGCAAAGTTTCTTTTGAGAAAGCAGCTAATAGTCTTATGGGAATTCCCCTGTAGGTAACTAACTGCTTTTTTCTTGCTGCTTTTAAAATTCTTTGTTTTTAACTGTTTGCATTTTAATTATGATGTGTCTTGGAGTGGGCCTCTTTGTATCCATCTTGTTTGGGACTCTCTGTGCTTCCTAAACTTGCCTATTTCCTTCACCAAGTTAGGAATGTTTTCTTTCATTATGTTTTCAAATAGGTTTTCAGTTTCTTGCTTTTTCTCTTCTGCTTCTGGCACCCCTATGATGCAAATGTTGGTGTGCTTGAAGTTGTCCCACAGGCTCCTTACACTATCCTCATTTTCTTTTTATTCCTTTTTCTTCTTGCTGTTCTGATTGGTTATTTTTTGCTTCCTTATGTTCCAAATATCTGATTTGATTCTTGTTTTCATCCACTCTACTGTTGATTCCCTGTAAATTGTTCTTTATTTCAGTTAGTATATCATTCATCTCTGACTGGATCTTTTTTATACTGCTGAGGTCCTCACTAAGTTCCTTGAGCATCCTTATAACCACTGTTTTGAACTCTGACTCTGATAGATTGCTTATCTCCATAGAGTTTATTTCTTTTCCTGAAGTTTTGATCTGTTTTTTTTCATTTGGGTCACATTTCTTTGTCTCCTCATTTTGGCAGCCTCCCTGTATTTGTTTTTATATACTATATAGAGCTACTATGTCTCCCAGGCTTGATAGAGTAGCTTAATGTAGTAGATATCCTGTCAGGCCCAGTGGCACAGCCTCCCCTGTTACTCAAACTGGGTACTTAATGTGCACCCACTGTGGGGCTCTGTAAACTCTCCTGTTGTAGTTGAGCCTTGATTGCTGTTGGCACATCCAGTTTCAGCCATTGCCTGTGTTCTGTTCAGGGTTCACAGCATTAGCTATAAAGCAGTCTTCAGATGGTCACTACTTGTGCTGGGCTGAGAGATGCCCAGAAGAGACCAAGCTGTGAACTAAGGCTGGCTTCTGCTAGGGCCAAGCCTAAGGCAACTTAGTGAAAGGTTTGCTTGTTTGAGA